CGGGCTGGCGGCAAAACTCGGCCTCGAGGTGCTCGAGGAAGACCGAGTCGAACTGCGAGTCGGCGTCCGCCGTCGTGACCATCACAGTGTACGGGTCGATAGACCTCGCCTGCGCCCACGAGTAGAGCTCCATGCACGCGTGCCGCTCGTTGGACGACTTGCCGGCCACCTCGCCGGGCCCGAGGCTGTGCCGCGTCTGGAAGAACTCGAGGAAGTCGCCGCCGAACTCGGCGTCCAGCCGCGCAAAGGTTGGATCGGCGCTCTCGTCGCGCGCCTCGGTCGCGAGGATCACGACGCAGCTCTTGGCGAGGTTGTTCGCCGCGAGCGAGCCGATGGTGGCGGCGAGCACCTCGTATGGCTCCTTGTACGCGCAGATGATGACGGCGTGGACTAGGCGCTCGCGGTCCTCGGGCAGAGCCGGCCGCCGCAGGCCGCGAAACAGGCACTTCCGTATAAAATTTTCTTCGCTCCGCGAATTCAGACAGTAGGCACCTGATGGTGCTAAATAAATAAATAAAACGGCCACACCAAACAAGGGGTGGGAGAAGGACAGGGTCCCCACCTGCGCGAGCTGATGGTGCTGTGCCTGCAGAAAGAAAGAAAGAAAACAGACAACCGACGGGACTGCAAAGAAAGAAAGAAAACAGACACCCAAGGGAGGGACTGCAAAATGCGGGAACACCCAGGCGTAGGTTATTTTTGCTTGGGCGGCACTCATGCTGAAATTCTGGAAAAACCCGGCCGGCCCCTGCGGTGCCCCTACCTACCTACCTACCTACCTACCCTACTTATGGGAAACTAAAAAAGAAATCGCTCGACGGGTGAAGGTGGGGTACCACATACCAACTAAAGTGATGGTTGGTGGTACTCTCCTGCATCCACAGTCCTTCTTGTGACATGGCAGGCCACTCTCAAGCCCTACAAGCATCAGATCACCCATTTGGGGAGGGTTGACATCGTGATTTTGGCGGAAGATTTCTTTTTCTGCTGTGAAAATTCCGGCGTGAAGAGAGGGAAAAACCCAACGGGAGGGCCCAGACCTACCCTACCTACCCCGGCATGAGTGCCGCCCAAGCAAAAATAACCTACACCTGGAACACCCGGCGAATTTTCTTTCGTGGGCTCTGGTGCGAGCTTCCAGCACCCTTGCCCGCCTCGCTCTCCCTCGCTCTCTCCATCCTGCGAGCTGGCCCAGATCGACCGTGCCCAATCGATGCGCTTGGCCGCTCTCCTCGTCGGCATGCTGGCGGCTCGCACGCGCGCGCTGCACCTCGTGCACATGTCGCGCCGCCCCGGCTCGCGCCTGCTCGGCCCGGCTGCCAGCCTGCGCGCCGGCATGCCGGGCGCCTCGGCCGGCTGCGCCTCGGCGGCGGCGCGGCGCGAGGCGCCGGCGCTGAGCTCTTCCGAAGGTATCAGCGGGCTGCGGGTGCTCAACACTCTGACGGGCCAGCTGGAGCCCTTTGTGCCGATCGACCCGGACCGGGTGAAGTGGTACACGTGCGGCCCCACTGTCTACGACGCGGCGCACCTCGGCCACGCACGCAACTACATGGGGTTCGACATCGTGCGGCGCGTGCTCTGCGACTACTTTGGGCTGGCCGTCATGTTTGTGATGAACATCACCGACATTGACGACAAGATCATCCTCCGCACCCACCGCAACCACCTCGAGGCGATGGCGGCGCTGGTCGCCGCTGCAGCGGCGGAGGCGGCGGAGGCGGCCGGGGCAGCGGCGCTGCGCGAGGCGGTGGAGGCGGCGGAGGCGGCGCTGGCGGCGCCCAAGCCGACGCTTCTGGAGCTGGTCGGAGCGCAGACCGCGCTGCGCGACGCCGCCGCCGCCGCCGGCATGGCCTCTCCGCCGGCGGTGTGCGACGTGCAGACGGCGTTTGTGAAGCTGACCCTCGAGCAGGAGGCGTCCTTCTTCGAGGACATGGCGGCGCTCAACGTGCGTCCGCCCGACGCGGTGACGCGCGTCACCGACTACGTTCCCGAGATCGTCTCTTACATCGAGACGATTGCGCGGAACGGGTACTGCTACGAGGCAAACGGCTCCGTCTACTTTGACACGGCCGCCTTCACCTCGTCGGAGGGCAAGGTGTACGGCAAGCTCGTCGACGCCTCTGCGCTGGCGGACAAGGAGCTCCTCGCCGAGGGGGAGGGCGCCCTCTCCGCCTCGAGTGCCGAGGCAGACAAGCGGCACCCCTCCGACTTTGCGCTCTGGAAGGCGTCCAAGCCGGGCGAGCCGGCGTGGCCGTCCCCGTGGGGGGAGGGGAGGCCGGGGTGGCACATCGAGTGCTCGGCGATGATGTCCGACCTGCTGGGCGGCGAGGTGGACATCAACGCGGGCGGGATCGACCTCAAGTTCCCGCACCACGAGAACCAGATGGCGCAGGTCGAGGCGCACTACGACTGCTGCAAGGCGTGCAACTACTTTTGGCACTCTGGCCACCTGTCCATCGACGGGCTCAAGATGTCGAAGAGCCTCAAGAACTTCATCACCATCCGCGAGGCGCTCGAGACCTACTCGGCGCGCCAGCTCCGCTTCCTCTTCCTCCTCCAAAAGTACCACCAGCCGATGGAGTACTCGCAAAACAGCATGGCCGCCGCCGCCGACCTCGAGCGCCGCTTTGGCGCCTTCGAGGCGGCGCTCGCGGCGCGGCTGCGCGAGGCGGACACGGCGGCCGACGCCGCGCCGCAGGAGGTGCTGCACCGGTGGGGCGATCAGGAGCGGCGCCTCAACGACGCCCTCGTCGACAAGCGCGCGGCGGTGCACGCGGCGCTGCTCGACTGCATCGACACGCCGAGCGCGGTCAAGCGGCTCGAGCAGCTGATCCGCGCGGCCAACTCGTACATGGGCGAGGTGCCGCAGCCGCAGCGCGGCGCGACGCTCCTGCACGCCGTCGCCCGCTACTACAGGCGCGTGATGGGCGCGTTCGGGGTCGAGACGGCGCTGGACGCTGCAGGGGCAGCAGGCTCGGCTGACTCGGCGACGCCGCTGCAGCTGACCGAGGCGGTGAGCAGCTTCCGCGACACGGTGCGCTCCATCGCCATCGAGGCGAAGCGGTCGGGCGGCGAGGGCGCCGGCTTGGCCGACGAGGTGCTGCGCGTGTGCGACGCGCTTCGCGACGAGAGCTTGCCGGCAGCCGCACTGTAGCAGCCACAGCGTGTGTAGTAACAGTGAGCATTCGGCTTGCCGGCAGACGCCGCCTTGCATGGCGCTGGCCGGCCGCTCGCGGCCCATCCCCGCCCGCCCTCTCCCGCGCGCAGGCGCTCGGGGTTCGGATCGAGGACCGGCCGTCGGGCGTGGCGCAGTTTGCGATCGACGAGCCGCAGCGGGTGAGCGCAGGGGAGGAGGGAGGCTGCGGTGTCGGGGCAGTCGTCTCACACGCCCGTCCCGCCCCTCCCCGTGGTGCTGGCAGGTGCTCGCTGAGGCGGCGCGGCGGCGCGAGGCGGCGGCGCAGGCCGAGGCGGCCAAGGCGGCGCGCGCTGCCGACCAGGCGGCGCGTGAGGCGGCCGAGGCGGCGCGCGCCTCTGTGCCGCCGTCGGAGATGTTTTCGCCGGCGCACGACGGGCTGTTTGGGCGGGAGAGCAGCTACGGCGCACTCGACGCCGAGGGCATCCCGCTCGAGGACGCGACGGGCGAGCCGCTCTCAAAGTCGCAGCGCAAGAAGCTGGTCAAGCTCGCGCAAAAGCAGGCCAAGCTAGTCGAGGCCGCGGGGAGGCGGTGACGGCGCGGGCGGCGGCGCGTTGTGTATTTGGAGGCGGCAGGCTGGAAGGAGGAGGGTCCGGGGAGAGGGACGCGAGACGCGTTGGGATCGGTACTAGCGGGCCGGGCCTATTTTTTTGTGCTAGTGTGTGGTGGAGAGAGGGCGTCCAAGAGGAAGGTCGTCGAGTGTCGAACTTACGTGGCTGGGAGAGCGATTGTAATAACCGAGGGACCAATGAAATCACGGTCGCGGCTTTCCGACTCGCGCCTTCGCCTCACTGGCACTATTGTAGCCCTGGCCGGTGCGCGTGCTCAGTTGAAGTTCCGGAGTGAAAATTCGAACGCGTTCTCTCACGGTGACCAAAAAATGTCCACCTCAGAGGCACCTCCGGAGGCAGGCCGCCGCACGCCGGCGACACAGCTCCAGCTGTCGAACTGACCCGCAGCTCCTCTCAGAGCGGGAACTGTGACGAAAGTTGACTGAGGCGGTTGTCAGGAATCATCATACGGATCACATGGTGGCTCTCTTATGACGGGAGACCACCCGACCACTCCTGGGTGGCACTGCCACCGGTGTCGCTCGACGTCCTGTCGACAGCGTGCCGACAGCGACACAGACCATGTGGGACGCGTCGAGTATCGACGTCTACTGCTTACCCAGCCTTCGAGTGTATCCTGGCTGTGGTCCCACACCCACTGGTGTCCATCTCAGAGACCGCAGGAGGTCATGAGGGTCGATGGGAGTGCCGACCCCACAATGCCTAAAAACCCAGCCCAGTAGTGTCGACAAATGGCCTTTGGCCTGAGGTCGTTTTTCGTATGGTGGCCTCGGTGCCCCAAAGACGTACTAGTAAACGCTAAACGGGTACAGGCTACAGCTACCGGGTGGGTGTATACGGACAGCTCACTCAGTCAGAGACTCTCTGTCACACACATCCACATGGCCCCGTGTATCGCGTATGTATGTGCCCTGAGACACTGAGGCAACGACATCAAGCAGCCACGAACGCGTCACACCATCCCCGCCGCCGGTTGGTGGCGGCGCGCCTGCGGCTGCTGCGCCCAGAGCTGCCCGCACGCCGAGCTGTCATCGGCGCCGCGCTGCGCTCGGACGGAGACCCACACGCCGCGCTGCCGCAGCCGCGCCTGGAAGGCGTCGATCGCAGCCCATGTCGGGCGCTCGTACCGCGCGGCGAGGCGCGCCGCCGCTCCGCCTCCGCCGTCGTTGTACGGGATCAGGTTGACCAGCACGCCCGTGCGGCGGCTCGCCCGGCCCGGGTCGAAGCAGGCCGCCTCGACGGGGCGCAGGAAGGCGGCCAGCTCGTCCGCCTCGGCCAGCCCGTCGTTGACGCCGCCCAGCAGGACGTACTCGACGACGAGTCTCCTCCTCCGCGGGGGCAGCGCCGCGAGCGCCGCGCACAGCCCCTCCCGCAGCGCCTCTGGCTCGTCGACGGCGGTCGGGACGAGCCGGCGGCGGAGGGAGGCGTCGGCGGCGTGCAGAGACCACGCGAGCGCGGGCGGCGGCGGCGCTTCCTCCTCACCGATGCCGAGCAGCGCGCCAAAGGCAGCGGCGGTCGGCGCCACCGTTGAGACCGTCACGGCGCGCGGCGAAAAGCCGAAGCGGCGCCGGTCGGTCAGCGCGGCCAGCGCACCACGCACGGCAGGCACGTTGTCTGCCGGCTCGCCCATCCCCATGAACACGAGGTTGGAGAGCGGCGGCAGCGCCTCGCGCTCGGCGAGCCCGCGAGCGGCAAAGACCTGCGCCAGCACCTCATCCGTGTCGAGCGAGCGAAAGAGCCCCATCGTGCCCGTCGCGCAGAAGCGGCAGCCCTGCCGGCAGCCGACTTGCGAAGAGACGCAGAGCGTGCTGCGTGCGCGCGCGTTCCGTGCCCGCCCGCCGCCCGCCACGTCCGGCCGCGGCGGGATGAGCACCGTCTCCACCTCGTGTCCGTCCCTCAGCCGGAGCAGCAGCTTGCGCGTCCCGTCCGAGGTGGAGTGCTCGCGCACCACGGGAGCGACGTGCGACGGCGAGGTGTGGGCGGCGAGCGATGCCCGCGCCGCGGCACCCAGCCCATCGGCACCTGCGGCGGCGGCGGCAGGGTCGCGCCCGCTCCGCAGATGGCGCCAGACGCTCTTGGCGCCGGCGCCGCCGACGAGAGAGTGAAGGCGCTCGTACGGCAGCGATAGCAGCGAGCAGCCGGCGCCGGCGTGCGGCGGCGCCAGCAGCGCGCAGCCGAGTGGGAGGAGTGCCAGCATTGCCGCGAAGCGTGTCAGCATTGCGAGCAAGCACGCAGTGCAGTGGGGTCGGTGCAGCGCGGTTGCGGCAGCGGTCGCGGCGCGGTGGCGGTGGCCGCACCGGTCAGGCGCGCAGCCGGAGAGAGAGGGAGGCGCTCAATCGCCGCACGCGGCGAGCGCCTCCAGCGTGGCACGCAGTGAAAAAGACGGAAGTGGCACGCAGTGAAAAAGACACTCTTCTTGCGTCGTGCGTGTCGTCATCACCTGTCTACCGTCCACCCATACCGCGTTGGTGTCCAGTCCGGATGTTCTTCACCTTCCTACCTAACGCCTAACCTAACTCTCTCTCACACACACACCTAACTCTCTCACGTTACAATGGACTAAAAAGAGAAAGCGGATAGGCAACAAGAACACAACGCACCCTCTCACATGACAAGCGATCCAGCGAGTGTGGGGACCAGAAAAAGAGAAAGCGCCGAACATAATCACCTAAAAAGAATTTTCCGTGCGGCTCGCGCACGACCGCCACGCCATCGCGTCACCGCTCCCCACGCCCGTCGCCAAACACACTGAGCAGGCCAGCAGCGCCACCGCGGCATTTCCCTGCGCACGCAACGAACAACAAAACAACACATCGCAACGCCATGCGACTCCGACTTCTGTGGGTTGCGTGCTTCGCGCCGATGACGGCGGCAGTGTACCAGTTCGAAGCGTGGGACCACCACGGCTGCAACGCGTACGCAGGAGACGTTTGGTGTGAAGCAGAGAGACGGTGCATGGCCAGCTACATGCCATGTTCCAGCCAGCAAAAGCCCGAGACCCGCAGCGGTCAGCTAGGCGGTCAGCGCAAGCGGCCGCAGAAGAAAGCCGGGTAGACGCGTCTTGTGCTATCAGTCAAGTAGATCAACTAAAATGCTTATCCAAATAATTCCAATAAAAGACGCACACAACACCGCTGCTCATAGGGGGCGCTCGCTGACGCTGGTGATCTCCGCCTCCCTCTGCCTTCGTATACGGTCGCGCCCGCCCCCGCGCCGCGGTCCCAGGCCGCCCCCGCCCGAGCTGCTGCGAGATTCACCACCGAAGCACAATCTCGAACAGCTTTCGAGGAGGCGCCGCACAGCCCCGCCGAGCCGTGAAACTTCGAGGATTGCGACTTGGCAGCAGCCGCGTGCACGCTCGAGGCACCCGCCGCCACCCGCTGCGCCCTCTGCACGCATAATCAGCAGGCGGCGGACGATGAGCAAGAACTCTCCCCTCTCGATCATCCCACTGCCGTCTGTGTCGAAAGTGCGTAGCATTCGGGCCGCCTCTAGGGTGTTTGTCTCCACTCCCAAATGACGCAGCGCGTCTCTTAGCTCCCTGGCGTCGAGCTGGCCTGTGCGGGACGCGGAAAATCGGCCGTGGTACTGTGGGGAGGCGAAGGAGAATGCACTAGCGTGATTGAGCGCCGTACCTGAGTGGTTGGCGTCGAACTCATCGAAGGCTGCATTTATGGAGGCGTCGGTGAGGGAGCCGAGCCGTTCCAGATGAGGTGTCTGTCGCCGCCCGCCGGCAGACTCCACGGAGCACCTCTCCGCACTCTCTATGCCACTGGCCTCTCCCGCCGAAGATCTTCGCGTCACAGCAGCCTTCACCGCCCTTGCTGCGTCCTTGCCAGCCGAGCGCGCAGCCCGCATCGCATTCGCAGCATCCGAGACACCGCGCCCGTCAGAGGAGGAGGTCGAGCGCCGGGCGACTGCCGCCGCCCGCCTGAAGACGCGCTTCATACGTGGCATGCGGGTTCCAGGCTTCGCGACGGCGGTAGTAGTTTTGGCTTCCGTTGCAGCAGCAATATCCAAGTATACTCGCGTTCGCGCGGGCGGCACGCAGAAGAATAATAGGTCGGCGAACATTTTCAGTGTACGTACTTTTAGCTTACTGGGAGAAAAGAGAGATCTCTCTCTCAGTGTATGTAGCTCTTATTTGAGAGTCATCCCATCCCTCCCTTGGGTTGTCTGTTTTCTTTCTTTCTTTTTCTTATTTGAGACATGTTATTTGAGAGAGAGATTTTTAGCAATGTTTGTGTTGTTATTTGTTCTCCACGCCCCTCTCCTTAAAATCCTGTGTGGTGGCGGCGTGCCGTCCTCCCATCACGCGTTTGCCTTCTTTCTTTCTTTTTGTTATTTGTTCTTGTTTATGACAGAGTGTCCCTTGTCGAGAGATAAGAGGGCTCCCGCGGCGATCAACACCGCAACTCCTTTTCTAAATTTCACCATGACACAGCATCGCGCATGGCACCATCACGCCGTGCTCATTTGCGCGGCGATCGACGAGTTCGGGGTGCAGGTGGTAGAGCGTGCTGTCGTCCGACTCCCAGCAACTGATCACGCGCGAGATGTCGGTGTCGCGGAATTCGTGCGTACCGTCGCCGTTGGGACGGTCGTTGCTCGCGCCGTTGGGAAACGCAAGGCGCACCTTTTTGTTTTGAAGACCTCGATACTTAGCGCACTGCTCGGGCGAGAGCTCAAACACGTGCCGCGTCTCGTCTTCGCCGCCGGCTACGCGCACAGACACAGTACGCGGCAGCGCCGACACGTCAACCCGCGTGTACGTCAGCGACGGGTCGCGCACGCCGCACGAGGCGCATGCGTGCAGCGGCAGCGCGTGCGCCATGCGCTCGTCGCTCCACTCGCCCAGCAGCCGCCGCTTCGTCTCGTCGGAGACGTGCACGCAGCGCTGCAGCAGCGCCGCCGTCTCGTCCTCGGGCCGCTCCAGGTCCATGACGACGTTCGTCGAGGCGTGGAAGCGCGTCTCCAGGTCGATGGCCGCCTGCTCGGCCGCGGCGAGCTTGCCCTGGTCGACGCACATGCCGCACACCGCGTGCGCCGGGCAGCCGCACTGGCCGCGTTGTGGGCGCACGGTCTTGGCGACCGCCGGCGCTGCGCGCCGGTCGTGCTGCTCACGCTGCCGGCGGCGCTGGTCGCGCGCCTGCCGATCGCGCGTGTTCGCGGCGGCTGCATCTCCTGCTCGTTTCGCTCGCACCCGAGCGGCGGTCGCCAGGCGCTTCAGGTCGGCGGTGCTGCGCGCGCGGCCGTCGGCTCTGCACAGCCACATGTCCTCCTCCTCGGCAGGCTCGCACGGCTTGCCGTCGAACTGCGGCGGGAACCCGCGACGACGCTTCGCCCAGGCCGGGCACGATGGTGCCGCGACGAGCGGCGTCGAGGCGACGGCCATCGATGGGTCCAGAAGACTTGGAGACACTTCTAAACCAAAAAATCGAGCACAAGTGCGTTACATGGGCATGGCCGGCGTTTCTGCACCGAACGATCTTACTTTCGGTCTATCGAAAGTGTTGATCGATAAAGCTCGTCGCAGTAGGAGGCCAACCACCAGACCGACGCTGAGCACTGTGCCATGGCCAAGGTTCACACCAAACGCCACGATTCACGCACACCATTTTGGGCTCTCACCTTTTTGCTGCTGCGTGTCGGCCCAGTCATGGGCTTTTTCTCTCGCAGCGGCGCCACCCGTTTTGCAAGCGCATCGCCTGCTCGCAGCAGCGCCACCCGCCTGCAGGCTGCTGACGAGCCTCCGCCACTGCGAGCGCTGCGAAGCTTTCTCTACTTCAACGGGCCAGAGGCGACAGCGCGGCGGCTGGTCGCCGGGCTCGCCGGCGGCCGCGCCACTGCGCCTGCTGGCGGCCTCGTCTTCGATGCTTCAGCACCGAGCGGCCTCGGCCTGGAGTGGGGTACACTGGACGACGTGGTGATGGGCGGACGCTCCGCCTCGTCCTTCCAGCTCACCACGGACGACGATGGGCTGGCCGTTGGCCGCTTCGAGGGCGTCGTGACGACTCGCGGCGGAGGCGGTTTCACAGGTGTTCGTACGCGCACGCTGTCGCCGCCGCTCGACCTCCGTGCGGCTGCGGCCGCTGCGGAGGGCGGCGGCGACCTGACCGTCGTGCTCCGCGTGCGAGGCGACGGCAACCGCTTCAAGTTTGTCATGCGAGATGACGAGGACTGGAACGGCGTCGCTTGGACGCAGAGCTTCGACACCGCGGCTGGAGAGTGGACGACGGCGCGACTGCCACTGGCTGGGTTTGTGCCGACGCGATTCGCGCGCACCGACCGCCTGGCGAGGCCCTTCCGCGCCGACCGCTGCACCGCCCTGCAGTTTGCGCTGAGTAAGTTCGAGTACGACGCGGGCCTCAACCCGCGCTTCGAGGAGGGGCGATTCCGGCTGGACGTGCAGAGCATCGGCGTGGTTCGGGCGTAACTCTCACCGCTTCGCGCAGACAGCACTCGCGCGCTCTCTGACTCTGTGTACGTTTGACATGATATACTGAATAAAGTATCTCGCGCTCCGCGCTCTCGCCGCGTGTCCCCGGTGTGCCCTGAACGGGGGGTCTGAAAAAATAAGTAACGCGGGGTGCCCGCGGGAGGCCCCGCCCCCCCTGGCGCACAGGTGGGGCCCCTGCAGCTGCACCCCGGTGGCGGTGCCTCTCGCTTTTGACTGTCGTAATAAAAGCACACCAAGAGCGCGCGGAGAGCGATACGGCGGCGAGAGCAGCGGGTCTGGGAGACTATACGTCAGGAATCAGGCGCGTGGCCAGCACACCGGCTTCCGCGGCAGACCTCGGCGCTGCCTTCTCTAGGCGGGCGGGGGCAGCGCCTCTCCGAGACTGGCAATCACGCTGCGCAGCCGATGGTTTGGCACGAGCTGGCGGGACGTCAAGACGGCGCCCGTCATCGGTGACGTCCTGTGGTCGGCTAGCCTGCGGGCGGGGGAGGAGGGGTGCGGTGAGGGATGCGAGAGGGGGCGATCCGAAGGGTGGCAGGGGGCGCGGCACCATCGCTCGATCGCATCCCGCTCGTACGAGTGCCCGTCCGGGGCGATGACCGGGTCGCGCATCACCTTTGTTTCTCGGGGCCAGGGGATCAGGGCCAGGTGCCAGGGTCAGAGTGAGGGTCTCACGGCGCCAGCGTGAGGTCGAGGCAGGTGCATGGGCGCCGCGGCGCGCCTCCATAGAGATGGGGCACCGCAGGTCCCGGAGGAGGCTGTCGCTGGCGCCGTCGCCGAGGCTGCCTCCAACCTGCCTCCTCTCGGCAGCACCCGCAAGCAGGTCCCCTCGCAGCGCGCGAGAGAGGCTCGCGCCCGCACCAGGCTCGCCGAGCCGCGTGGCGCTCTCCTCGAGCTGTTCGTACATTGCCGCCCGCCGCAGCCGCAGCTGCCGCCGCAGCCTGACAAGCGCGCGCCAGAGGGAGAGCGACGCGAAGGAGCCGGCCACCATAAAGAGATCCATCGGCCCATTCAGCGCGAAGAAGAGCAAATCGGCCTTGCCGGACTCCTTCAGGAAGGACTCGGCGATGATGTAGAGGCCAATCACGAGAGAGAGGCCAGACGAGCCGACGAAGTGGCTAGAGATCATCCATGGCTTGCAGTCGCGCGCACCAAAGTAGCCGAACGCGCCGGCAGCCACGAAGAAGGGCTGCATAACCAGCAGGGTTGGCGTGCGCCGCATCGCGCCGGCGGACGCGAGCGCGAGCGCGAGGCAGACCTGGCACGCGCAGAGCGTCATCACCGTTTGACGCTGCTGGATCATGCTCCCCTCCGATGCGTGGATGCCATCCTCGTTGAGCATGATGGCCCTGGCGAGTACAGCGAGTACACACGCCTGCTATTCACGTAAAAAGAAAACGTAGAATTTATTCTTCGTCTCTGCTCAACAAAACAAACAAAGTGTGAGTGTTAGAGTTGTTTGGTATTGGTAAAAATCTCTCTGCTCATCTTTAGACTTTACTGTTACACACTTTAGAGCGACCCCAGCTTGAGAACCCCCCCCCACGCCCACCCCCAGTGGATCGCAGATTCGCAGTCGCGGAGGACCTGGAGCTGAAGCCTGAACACCGGGCCGCCTGACTGCGCGGTTCTCCTCGCTTCACCGAGCGCGCCTCACCCCCGTCCCGCCGCCCCCGCCGCCCCTGCCTCCCCTGCCTCCCCTCCCTCGCGCGGCCCCGGCGGCCCCGCGACCGCCGCCCCGCCCGCGCGGCGCGGGCGCTGTGGCCTCTGGCAGCAGGTCGCTTCGGCCGGTCGCCGCGCAGATGATGCGCCGCTGCAGCGCGTCGACGCCCGCCTTGCGCTGGGACGAGACGAGCGCGAGAGGCCTCAGCTGCCGCCGGGCGGACTTGAGGCCGGACTGGACGAGCGCGGCGACCTGCGCAATCCGCTGCGGCGGGCCCGCCGCGTCCGCCTTGGTCAGGACGACCAGGTACGGCAGCCGCGCCTCCGCCTCGAGGAACTGGAGCATCTGCACGTCCGACGGCTTGAGGCCGACGCGGGCGTCGACGAGGACGAGGACGAGCTTGATGGTTGAGCGCTTGCGGAGGTAGGCGGCCGAGAGGCGCGCCCACGCCTCGACTGCCGCCTCGCTCGCCAGCGCAAACCCGTACCCAGGCATGTCGACCAGCCA